AGAGAGAGAGGGAGAGAGGGAGAGAGGGAGAGAGGGAGATAGGGAAAGAGGGAGAGAGAGAGAGAGAGAGAGAGAGATTTCAGCATGTAATGCATGTACAGTCGAACCTGCCATGAGGTACGAATGCAACTTTCCATTTCACTCTTTGCATTTTTTCTTTATAATTTCACAGTGTAAAAAAACAGTCACCTGTCCAATGTGGCAGTGGCCACCTTATTTTATCACCGAAAACCAAAAAAAAATTATGTCTAAAAATAGCCACACAAATCTTTCTTTGCCCGACTCATGGTCATAAATTATGTGTTGGCTCTTGACGCTGTGGATGAGCCATCATAATCCAATCATCTGTCCTTATTGTTTGCCCCGTTCATGTTGGGTACGTCCCACCCTTTTTTATTTACTCGAGTTGACCACCCGGTAACAATTGATTTTCAGCTGCTGGTGTGCACAGCATGTGGTCTGTCCATACGTATAAGTCCCACAATCCATGCACAAATCGTGAGTGATGTGACAGGTCACTGTTTACCCAGTCTTTTACAATGGACGTTTACATGAACTTGGGTCAGAAGCGTCACTCATTGTCTGAGGGGTGGCAACTCATTTGTTTATTTTACCTTTTTTCCCTCATATGAAAAATTTTCTTTTTGTTTTACCCTTGCACTCTGTCTTCCTCATTTGATACACTTTTTAGAATTTAACACTTAATACAGCAGTTGTGAGGCCTTTTCTCTCTGCATAAACCAAAAATGTTTCCCACATACAGATAAATCCAGCCGTTGATGACGGCGTCAGTGTAGAAATGTAACCCATGTCTGAGCCTTCAACCAACCTCAGTTGGGAACTCAGAAGGGAATGTTCAGAAAAAAACAATAGCAAACCCCCCTTTCCCTTAAAACAACCCTCTAAAAACAAAGAAACAGAAAATAAAAACATAACAAACCAGCAACAACCACAACAAAAAAAACCTTCCTATCCCGCGACCCCCCCCCCCCCCCCCCAAAAAAAAAGCGTTTTTATTAGCCTTTTGGAAGTCCTAAGCCTGTAACCAAGTCCGGTTGAGACCTCAGAAAGGCATGGTTTGTTTTCTTCATTTTTATCAGTCCTGCCTAAGACGGCCACGGCCACGGCCACTTTTCTTCTCGACAATAGGTGGCCGTCTTACACAGGTTCAACTGTATTTATGTCCTTTCTTGTTGTGTGTATGCATGAGCACACATGACCTGTGTAATACCGACTGCCATTGTAAAAGGCCAAAATAAACTTCCCCCCCACGGAGATGAAGAATGAATAATGTCATGGTCATTGTTTTCCTGCCTCTCATATATTCATCTCGTCCACAGAGACAACTGGCTGTGAGCTCAGAGAGAGTCCTACTCCCACCTGACCCAGCCCAGTCTCTGGTGGTGGAGTTGTCAGCCCGCCACATTCCTGCCACGGAGGATGAGTTTAAATACTGTTACTCCAGCCGGGCTGGGCAGTATGGTATGTAGTTGTGTGTGTTCATGCATGCATGTGTGTGTGTGTGTGTGTGTGTGTGTGTGTGTGTGTGTGTGTGTGTGTATGCGTGTGCGTGTGCCTGTGCTTGTGTGTATGTGGTTATCAGGTCCTCTGAAAATTTGGTGAAAGGGCTTTCCAGTGTGGGTTGCCCTAAAGACACGCAATATTCTTTATGAAAAGCTTTAAGATATTGTTAAACAATGTGTCAAACCTAAAATTTTATGCCGCACTGTAGTTTGTCATGGGTGTTGGCAGTGAATTGGTTAAACTTAGCATAAAATACAGTCGAACCTGCCCTGACGGCCACCTCTATAAGACGGTCACCTGTACAAACGGACACTTTCCATTTCCCCCCTTGCGTTTTTTCTATATAATTTAACTATGTAAAACGGGCACCTGTCCAACGCGGCCGCGGCCTCCATATTTCAACACACAACCCCTATCACACAAAGCAATAACACCTGTCTTAGACGACCACCTATGTGACTCCATTACGCTTTGTCATAAATCAAGCATTGGCCCCTGGCGTTGTGGGCGAGCCATCATAATCTAAAAACCTGTCGTTGTTAATTAGTCCCTCCAACTGATCATGTTGCGTAGGCCCCTCCCACTGTTGACCAATAGGTAACAAAATTAATTTTCAGCTGCTGGGGAGGGAAGCGTGTGATCCCTCATAACCCATAAGCCCCTCCCAGAACCCATACACAAGTCGTAAGTGAGATGAGTGGTCACTGTTTACCCAGTCTGTAGCAAAGTAACAATGGACGTCAGCATGAACTTGTGACAGAAGCGTCGCTCGTTCTCCGAGTGGTAGCGACACGTGTGTTTGTTTTACCACAGCACTCGGTCCCCCTTGTCTGACACATTTCGTTTTATTGTCACCCGTGCACAAAAGCAGCAACAAAAGAAAAATAAACCAGCGAAAACAACAACAACAACAAAAATAACAACAACAACAATGCAACTAGATCTACCTTGGGTTGGGACCTCAGAAAGGAAGGGTTTGTTTTCTCAGATAGGAATGGTTTGTTTTCTTCATCTTGATCAGTCCTGCCTAAGACGGCCACCTGTCTTATACGGC